CAGAGGCTCGTGGCAGCTAAATCACAGCTTGAGCACAAGACGCTGGTGCTTGGACGCTGCTGGCGCGAGTGACAGTCCTGCGTGGGAGTCATGGAGCAGCTGGGGGAGCCAGGGCTCGCGCGTGAGTGCTCGGATGATTTCTCTGCTTAGTTTGCAGTGCTGCTCTGTCTCCTGGGTGAAGGATGGATTATGACTGTGCCGGCGCCTGGTTATCACCACTGAACCACGCGCTGGCGCTTGGAGGAGACAAGGGGCTGTATCTCCCACACACCCTTTGACGGAGATGCCCAGCTCCTTGTGGGACTGTTTGCTGGTGGCAGACCTTGGGACTCTCTGCTAGCGCCTTGTGCTGTGGGATGGCACAGGCTTGAGTCTGCTGGGATTGGGAGTCAGGAGTGGTGTTTGCAGCCAGTCAGCCTCAAGCCCTCTAGGAGGAGAGTGTGTAGGACTCCAGTGGTTTTGGAGTTCCGGAGTCTGACAGACTCTTCTTTACCTTTTCTATTAGTTTTTTTATTTTGAAAAACTCTATCTAATGGGATTCTTTTACCCAAACTTGTGAGACTGACTGCTTTAGAGAGACTGAGTTTTGTTACAGTCCTGTTTGTCTTTCCTTTTGTCTCTTAAAAGCATTTTGCAGTACAGACACAGAGAGAGGAGGCTTTGCCTTAAAAGCATTTTGCAGTACAGACACAGAGAGGAGGCTTTGCGTGAGCCTGGGGAGCTCCTAGGAGACAGGGCGGCCTGTACGCCACCTCTCGCTGCGTGGGCTGGGGAGCAGTGCTGGAGGGGAACAGCGCAAGCTGTGGTCTCGATGCTGTCATGAGGATGTGTGGTGAAGGAGATGAGGACGTGGCAAGGCTGGGCTGGTACACACTGCTTGTGTTAACAGAGGTTTGGGATACCCAGGACTGCAGAGTGGATCGTTTGCTTGTTCCCTCAGTAGGACTGCTTGGTGTTGTGTGTGCTGTGGGTCGAGATGTGCTGTGCTGGTCGTCGATAGCTGGGGATGCTGTGCACTGCAACATGCAATTCTGGACTGTACGTTTGTTTATTTGTTTTCCAGGAGCAAGTAAATTTGCTGGGATAAAGCTTTAATTTTGATGGGTGACAGATGGAGATCACTGGGAACGTCAGCAAATGGATTCAGCTGAACAAATGAGGGGAAATGTTTTTGATAAGCGTGAAAGGAGGGACGTTTTGAAGTGCCTTAGAAATGACCCCGTGTCCCTGAGCAGTGCCCATCCCATCTGTGTGCTGGTTCCCGGTTGTCCAGGACTGTGCTTTGACGCCATTTACCTGTGTGTGTGGTGCTGAGGCATCAAGAGGGCTTCTGGGGGACGTGGCAAGGGATGGATGGATGTTGGGGACAGTGACAGGGTCCTTCTTCAACCCTCCTGTCTGGGACGTGACAGCAGCACTGACTATGACCCAAGGCAGTCTGGGGCCTCTCTTCTGGGGACCTCCATCTGTGACCTTGCTGTTAGGCACAGCTGTAAGAGAGGGGTTTTGAGCCTCCATGAAGTTTCTCTGCAGCCCCTGGGGCTGGGATGATGAGGGGTCCCCAGACCCTCCCTGTGGGGTGGAATGGAGAGCTCCTTCTGTTGTATAAATACGTGTGACTCGGTTCCTCTCCCAGGGTTGTTGCCAGTGTTGCCTGTGAGGAGAGAGGAGGAAGGTGAGGGTGGGATGAAGGGGTTCATCCCCTCCCCAACTCTGTGTCCAGGGCTCTCTTGCATGTCAGCAGATGTGGCTGGGATGTGGTAGAGGATGTGACACTTCTAGTTTCAGGTCGTCAGGATTTGGATGAGCTCTGATGTTGGTGAGCTCTGCTAGAGCTGAAGGCTTCACTGCTGGGGAAAGCCAGACCTGCTCTGCTGGCTGTACCTCTGTCTACATGGGCCATGGGGATGTGTTTCTAAGTGCCAGCAAATATCTCCTTGGGCAGCTGGAGCAGGGAACTGCAGGATGTTGTAGCACAGGCTGCGTGCTTGGCCAGGTTGTCTCCTTGCTGGTGAGCCTGTGTGTGGTGCAGGGATGTACTCCTGGCTGCTGGTGAAGGACTGTGTCCTCTCTGGGCTCCATGTTCCCCTCCTTCTGTTTCTGGGTTTGCACAACTGCATTAAACCCTACCTCACACAAAGCAGCTGTGCCAGATGTGGGAAGCAAGGTACTTGTTATGGGCAGAGATGCTTTTATCACAGAGCCCCAAGAGCTGGAGCAGCCTTTCCCCTCCTGTGTCCACGATGCTCCACCAGACCTTGCCCTGAGCTTGCTGCTCCCAGTGCCTGTCGGAGAGGCAGGAGCCAACAGCACCAGCTTCCCCTGTGGGTTGGTTACCAGGTCCTGAAGGACTCGGGAGCTCTGGAGGCTGCAGGGTAGCACTGGGAGCCATGGGGCCACCAGGCAGCCAAAAGAGTCTAGTCGGTGGCCCAGGTTTGCGGGGTCTGGACCAGTGTCACCAGGCTGCATCTTCTGCTCCCCTCCCACGCCTCTGACATCATCAGCCTCACTGAGAACTGGGGATCCATCTTTCCCCTGTACTCAAATTCAGTAGTATTGTGGGAAAAGACAGATGTGTTGGAGCTGCTGAGAAACCAGAGGTTGCGGGAGCTCCTGGTGCTCTGGGTCTGCCTGTCCCACAGGAGTTTCTGCTTGTCGAAATGTCCTGCACTGCTTGTGCATCCTCTGCATTTTAATTAGGGCAACAAAGGCCACTACGGTGCTAAACAAGCAAGCAGCAATTAAAGAATAAATCACATCTTTGTTAGGGGCCCCCTCTACCCTACCCTGAACTCGGCGTCCCTGTGGCTGGAGAGAGCAGGAGGTGATGGGGGCAGAGCTGGAGCCTGCTGGGCTCCCAGGCGTCGCTGCTGAAAGCCTGGGCAGCAGGAGCTGCTCGCCTGCGCCGACAGCTCTCGCCCACCGTTGTGCCTGCTGCCTCTTCCCCTGGGCTGTGCAGTCCCCTGGGTGCAGGAGGCTCCAGCAACACAGCATCCGTGGGATGGCTCTGGGTGCTTCCCTGAGCAGGAAGGTGACTCTCACAGCCTGAGTGGACTCAGCTCTGGGCTTTTTTTGCTCCACTGATTGCTGAGCTGCATATCACACAGCTCGCATCCCGACTCCTGCCTCGCTGCGATGCTGTGTGGAAAAGGGGCAAGGAGGCACCTGGCCCCTTTCCACCATGGGACAGGAGCTTTCTGTGGGAGCTGCCAGCAGCAAGTCCTGGTAGGCCTTCACGTGCTCTAAACATCTTAGGAGGCAAATAAAACAGTGAGTGGCATTAGCTGTCTGCTTGGCTGGGTGCCTTCTCAAGGCCCCTGCAGGTTGCCAAGGTTAGGGCAGAGCACTGTGGGAGGCAGGTAGCCCAAACAGAGCCAGGCTCTTTGTCTGGAGGCCTTTGGAGACTGCTGGGTCGTTATTTGTCTCTCCCCCATGCCCAAAGGTGCTGTGATTTATGGCAGTGGTACAATCGGTGTCTGTTGGCAGTGATGGACTGGGCCGTCCAGAGAGCATCCCTCCCTCCTTCCTTCCCTCCCTTGCTTGCTCTGCGTCCCTTCTGTTGCTTTTCCTGCAATTTCAGGCAGTTTTACCATTCAGCCAAATCAAGCCAGTACCCCTGTCAGAGAATAAGCCAAACTTTATGGGAAAAGACAGCTTTTCTAGTGAGCAAACAGCCCTTCCAAGTTGCCTACCTCTCATGCCAGGACCCTTTGGCTAGAGGCTGTGAGGATGGAGCTGGGGGGAGGTTTTGGGGTACCTGAGGGCATTGGGCAGTGCCAGGTCCTGTACATCCTGGTACACACTGCTGTGTCACGGGGCTGAGTGGCGCATCCTGGCTCCGGAAGGCTCGATCTTGCATCAAAATCACAGGTCAGGCTCTTTTGCTTTTATGGATGGGGGGTGTGTGTGTGTGTGTGGCACGGCTCCATCATGGGATGAGGGACGCTGCGCTGCCCTGCTGCCCTCGCGGGGGAATTAACCTGTGACCCCATGGCTTGGGCTGTCCCACGGGGTGTTTGCACTGGGTCTGCAGAAGAGCAACATAAGACACTTGTGCCACACTAATCCTGCGCTGCTTAGCTCTGTGGAAGAAGCCTGGGCAGATGTTTCTGATCCTCAAGAGTTACCGGGCCAGGCTGGTTCCTCTGCTCTGTGCTGTGGCTGGGAGATATCTCCATGGAGGCTCCCATTTCTGGGTCTGTGCACTTTTGTCTCTATCAGCACGGGATGCTCTGGCAGGTTCCTGGGTGGTGGTTTGATGGTTGTGAGCGAGGAGAGGCAGACTGGGGCTGGTATGCCATCTGCAGGGTGCTGGCCACAGGGAAACCATCCAATTCCTCTTGTGCAGAGCGTCCATGCTGCTTGGAGCCTGAGCACTTCAGTGGGTTGTGGACTGGGAGCTGGATCTGAGCCAGGGCCTTGCAAGACTGTCCTGAATGCCTGGCAGCGGCAGAACAACATCTCCAGCGTCCTGGAGAGCTCCTTATGGGCTAATGAAGCCCTGACAGGGCTGGTCATCTGTTTTAAATGTAATAAAATATAGCAGTGCTGCGCAGAGCCTCTGGGATGTGCTTGGTACATGTGAAGGGCCATGGTCAAGGCTGCAGATGAGACGCAACTCCCTCTGAATCTGGTGACTCCCTCTGGATGTGGGTCTGTGTGACACTGGCTGTAGTGAATTGCTGCCACTCCTCTCCTTTCTGCAGGCAGCAGGGCTGGCAGTGGGATGACGGTGTGGGGCAGATGTGCCATGCTGCCACATTTGTGCAGGGCTGGCCAGGGGACTTGGCAGCGTGGTATTCTGGGGAAGGCTGGGACAAGGTGGAGACATACCCTTGTGGTGGGTAAAATCAAGGGTCCTGCAGAGCCTGTCGTGTCCTCTGTGTCCCAGCTCCCTGTCCTGCCATATGCTGTTCTCATCTCCTCTTTTCTCTGGTAGGGACAGGGCAGAGTCCCCGGTTACTGCAGCTGGAGCGTCTGCCAGCCCTGACGAAGGCGCGATGCGGGGCTGTACGACCCTCCCTGTGGAAGCAGAGGGGACGATCGGGGAGCAGGAGGAAGATCAGCCATGCACAAGTGAAGGGGAAAGGTAAGCGATGGGGGTGTGAGAGGGGCTGTGGGCTAGCCGGGGGCTCAGCCCTGGCCAGGAGTGTGTGGAGGGGTGAACATGGGGAGGAACAGCAGCCCCTTGTCAGGGCTGAGCTCTCCCATTGCCCACTGCTGCCCATGCCCAGGGCAGCAGGACCCGTGACTTGGCTGCTCTTCCCCAGAAAGCCCTTACGGGGCTGATGTAGGCTCACCACAGGGGATCTAGGCGCACCACACGTTGCTGTGGACCTGTAGCCTTGCAGCAGTGCCACGAGGAACCGAACTCATTGAGCGTGGCATTTCCTGCAGTGTGGGGTAGTGTGCGAGCAGGTCGCTCTGCTGGGCGCTCTACTGCTGGGCTGTGGGGAGCAGGGCTGCATGGATCTGTGGGTGGGAAGCAGAGAGCTCTGGGACAGCCCAGCCTTTGGGGAGGGGGCTTTCTCGGAGAAACCTTCTCCATCATTCCTCCGCACTCTCCAGAGCTTGTGCTCAGCCCCAGGTGCCTGCTGGTAAGGTGTGGTACAGTGTCCGGAGCTGGTGGGTGCATTGCCAGCTTCCGAGGGGTGGGAAGGGCTGCTCTGGGGTCTTGCAGAGGGACCCCTGTGAGCCTGGAGGGCTGCGTGCCTCTTTCCTTGTCATATGAGAGCCAAGCAGGTAATGTGTGCCCTGCCATCCCTCCCGTCCTTGTCTCACCCCCATAAGCCAATTCTCTTGCACCCTTTCCTTGCCTGCAGTAACTTCCCCAAAGAGCCGTGAATGCTGCTGTCCCGGGTCGCTCCGGTGGGACAGTTCCCCAAGCAGCTGAGTGTGTGCTAGCAAACCCGATGGCACTAACAGTCACGGGGATTACTTACAGCCTGGTACGCTGCAGAGGAGAGGAAACGTTGCAAAGTATTCCGCTTTTCCCAGGAACTCATTCCTGGTGCATCAGCAGGGTGGCTGTGGGATGGTGCCGGCGTGGGTCCCAAGTCTGTGGAGGAGGGCAGGGCGCTGCCCGCGTCCTTGCACGTGGGGCTTGGGCCTGTTTGCTCAGGCAGGTGCGGTCCCTGTTCAAATCCGCGGGGCCAATGGGAGCCGCGCCGTTCAAACGTGCGGCGGTTGGACGCGTGTCCCATGGAAACCCGGCTGCACGGCTGCTTGTCACTCCCAGCTTAAACGGCTGCTTGGCTTTCCCGGGCTAGGCAGGGAGGGCTCCAATTACTGGCTAATTAGAGGTGTCCTGCCATGGAGCCTGGCAATGTCCACAGAGTCTCGCTCTGCACCCGCCAGGCTGACCTCCTGGGAGCTTCTTTCTACCTCACCACGTTTGGTAAGTGCTGAGCCTGCAGCTCTGGGGAGCAGGGGGTGCCCCCAGTGCCTGGGGATGTGGCCCTGGCCAGTACGGCACGGGGAGCTGCAGCAGGTCATGGCCAAAGCCTGGAGTGGTAGGAACAGGCAGGAGAGCTGCTCCCCGAAGGCATTAACGCTGAACGGCAGCCTGCTTGCTTCTGCCTCGCTGAGCCAGAATAATGCACGTCTCCATCAAGCTGGTGAACAGGAGAGCACCCTGAAACCAAGCTGCAGCTGCCGAGGCGTGCTGCAGCAGCCAGCCAGATGCCAAATACCTGGGTCATTTTTCCCCCTGGATGGGCATGAGCTGGGATTGCTGTGCTGGGCTGGCCAGAGCCATGGCCCCTGTTAGGGCAGAGCCCCAATTTCCTCCTTTGCTCCTTGTGGATCTTTTTGGGGCTGCCTCAGTTTTGCTGCATGGGCTTGAAGAAGCCCATGGGCAGTGGTGGCTTGGCACTGTGGGCTAGAGCTGGCCCAGCGATGGCTGGGCTACGAGTCCCATACACCCACCCTGCAAGCAGGTGAGTTTGGCAGCAAATGTCGTGGCAATTGCTTGTGTGTGATGGTTTGTCAGCTGCTGTCTTACAGAGAGGGAAGCTGGGTGCCCTTCCTGGGTGCTTTTTAAGCAGCAGTTTTCTTTCAAAGCTTTTCTTTATTTTAGTGAGCGGGGCAGGCAATCATGCAATGTGCTGTTAAAGAGGCTGCAGGGAAGCAGAGAAGGTTACATGAGTGGAGCAGGGCATCGCTCCCCGGGGCAGCCAGGGACGCTGCTCCTTCTTTTTGGCTTGTAAGCGTCAAACTGCTCAGGACAGCTGGGAAGCTGAAATCCTCCTGTCTTTGTCTGCAGGACTTGTGCATGCCAAGTAATGTGAGTTTTGTGGTGCCTCTTGGATCTGTAACCAAGTGTGGGCCAAGCATCACCTCTGCAGCTACAGTTCCTTCATGTGCTGACCATCACTGGCAAGATTGTGGCATTGCGTGCTCTGAGCAGGGGCAGGGCCAGCCAGCCCTCTCCATGTGGGTGACCAAGGAGAGGGTCTTCACAAGGGCTGGTGGCAGGGCCCGAGGTTGTAGGTGGTGATCTTGGGGCGCTCTGCCTTGCGCCCATGGGGACGTCCCACACAGGCAGTTATCTGACACTACTTTCCTCTGGTCAGAATTCCCCCTGCCGTGTGCACCAGTGATTCTTCACTGTCCCAGCCAGGGCAAAACCTGTGTTTTTCCTCCAGATGAGCATTTAAGGAGCAGAAACATAAGTTTTCCATTTGTCAGAGATCATCGGTAAGGAACAGATTTTCCTGCCTGCTGGGTCTGCTCCCAAAGGACACCATTCGCGTGTCCCCTCCCTTAGCCTGGCAAATTTCTCTCATGGGTGGGAACCTGTTGGATTACCAGCTTGTGCTCGTTCATACCCATTTTTTCTCTGTTCTCCTTGTGCCAGCTTTGTTCATCAGCTTGAATCGCCTCTCCTGGCCCTGCGGGGCCCAGATGGATGGGGTCTGCACGCTCTCTCTGCTGTAGCCCTGCTCTCTGTGATGGGGTGTGCACCCAGGAGCTGTGTATGGGTCCTGTTGTCAGACAAGCTGTCAGCTTTTTGTCTCCCTCTGGCCTTTCTTTGCACCTATTTTCATTTCTACTAACCTTTACTGAACACAGGTGACCTGGACAAGCT